GGGGGGGGGGGGGGGGGGGGGGGGGGGTTGGAATGTGGCACTTTCTGTCTGGATCCGTGGGCTGCTCTCTGCCACTTAATCTCCACAGAGGGGACAGGATGACCCCAAACAGGGCATGAGGACAGTCAGAGGGGGTGTCCCAGACCTTCCCAGGGCGATGGCTCATCTCCCTCCTAAAAAACTGCCCCCACCCCTCTGACCTGGCAGGACAGTATGAGGATGATGGAGCCCTCTTTCCTTCATTTTTTTCACCTGACAAATAATATTTTCAGATCTCAAATAAATTTGGTGGGTTAAGTCAGAGAATGGCAGAGGGCTGTAGGGTGCTGATGCTGTTCTGTGCCCCGTCCTGTACCTCCGTTCTGGTGTTGGGGTGGGGTGGAGGGGGGCACTTTTCCCACCTTGATTGACTGCCCCCTTCCCCTGAAAGAGGAGCAAGCATTGAGGCGCGCGGCGCGGCTTTGAAGTCCGATAACGTTGGCTATCAGCTGGGCGGGCGGGCCGGGGACAGACTGGGCCTTGTTTTGCGTCGCTTTCTGTCTGAGCCGCTAGCATGCGGCTCACCCTCCGACAGCCTCTGAGGCCAGACTGCAGTTGTCTAGAATGTTCTATAGTTTCAGGTTTCCGTAGCTAGTGTTTTTTTTCCCTTCTCTTTTTGTGAAGTGTGCTAATTTTCAGCGGCCTTTATTCACGTCTTTACGTCCGTTCGGTCAGACTGCGAGATATTATCTACCAGTTGGCCGCCAGTTCTGATCTTAGGCAAGTTAACCTTTGTAACCCAGTGAAGGCATCTGCTAAGCGCATGAAGGAGGACTTTTAGACCAACCATGTGTTTGTGTTGACAGTACTGAACAATAGTGTTGTTGATACATACAATTCAATCCAATGAAATCTTACATGGAACAGGAGAGGGACCAAAAATTCTCAATTAGGGAAAAAAAAACCTCTTTCGTGCTGCTGGCTTTTTGGGATCTCTGCCTTATGTGTTTGCCTCTGCCTGCCACTCCCCCAGGTGCCCAGATGACTTTGTCGGAAACCGGTGTCAGCTCCTCAACCCCTGTGCCACGAACAAGTGCGCCAATGGCGGGACGTGCGGCGTGGACGTCCGCGGCAACACGGCGGTCTCTAAATGCTCGTGTCCGCCAGGCTTCATGGATGACGTGTGCCTGACACCAACCAACCACGTGTGCATGAACAACCCCTGTAAGAATGGCGGCACCTGTGACCTGCTCAGCGTGAACGAACACCGCTGCCGCTGCCCGCCGGGCTGGTCTGGTGAGTGTCGGGCCACTGCCACCATTGTCTTACACCCTTAAACATGAGGCGTGCTCTCATCATTCACATGAATCTACAGACTAGACCAGGGAGTGCTGAGCCACTCGTGCCATTAAACATGAGGCGTGCTCTCATCATTTGCACGAATCCGTGGGCTAGTCTGGTGAATGTTCAGCCGCTGCCGCAGCCTCACACCATTAAACATGAGGCGTGCTCTCATCGTTTGCACGAATCCGTGGGCTGGTCCGGTGAATGTTCAGCCGCTTCCGCAGCCTCGCACCATTGAGCATGAGGCGTGCTCTCATCGTTTGCACGAATCCGCGGGCTAGTCTGGTGAATGTTCAGCCGCTGCCGCAGCCTCGCACCATTGAGCATGAGGTGTGCTCTCATCGTTCACACAAATCTGCAGGCTGGTCTGGTGAGTGTCAGGCTGCCACCACCTTGCACCATTAAACATAAGCCATACTCTCATCGTTCACACAAATCTGTTGGGCTAGGCTGGTGAGTATTGGGTCACCACCACCTTGCACCATTAAATACGAGGCATGCTGTCATCATTCCCACATATCTGTGAGCAAATCTAGAAGCTCTCCAACACATCTCTGGTACCTCTTGGTTTTACCGGCTCTTGCGTGTTTCTTTACTCTAAACCTCTTGACTCAACCCCCCAGGCAAAACCTGTTCGCAGGCTGACCCCTGTGCCTCGAACCCATGCGCCAATGGCGGCCAGTGCAGCCCATTCGAGTCGCACTACATCTGCACCTGCACACCCACCTTTCACGGCCAGACCTGCAAGGTGGACGTCAACGAGTGTGCCCAGAGCCCCTCCCCCTGCAAGAATGGCGGCACCTGCGTCAACGAAGTCGGCTCATACCGTTGCGAGTGCCCCCGAGAGTACACCGGCAAGCACTGTGAGGTGCTCTACAGGCCGTGCAGCCCCTCCCCCTGCCTCAACGGGGGTACCTGCATGCAGAGGGGGAACACCACCTACGAGTGCACCTGTCTGCCAGGTAGGCCAGACCCCAGGAAGTAGCCTTCTCCCGCTTTCCAGGAGGGCTGCTACAGAAACACTAAGGAAACTGGAGAGCAAATTTGTTAAACTTGCTCAGTCTGTGGGATACATTTTTGAGAAAATTTCTCTATGAGCAGTGTAGAGTGGGCAGCCAACTTAGGTGCAAGTGCTGCTAGGCTAAGCTTCCAATGACTGAAAAAGAGACAAATGCTGCTTAAAAGCTCGCATCAGCGATGCTTTACACATATTATCCACGGGAGGTTCTACTAAGAAACAAAGAATATCCAGTACAGCCAGGAAAACCACTTCACAATGGAAAACGGTGAGAGACAGAGGTTGAGGTTCCTGGGGCAGATGTTGAGGTTTCCCCTGAAGACATAAGTCTAACGTGTATTGTTTATTATTTTATTTATTCATTTACTTTTCGGGAATTTCTAGGTACTGTAGGTCACAAGAGTATCATAGCTGTATAATATTAACAGAAGAAATGAAAAAGTGGAAGATTAAAAACCGAATAGCTATAATGCTGGTGTTTGCCATTGCTTCAGGTTTGTGTGTGTGTGGTCCAGGAATACTTTACATTGTGGGGACCAAATATCCTTGCAATGTGATAAAAACCTGTAATTTTGATGTTGTGGGGACCATTTTTTTGGTCCCCACAAGGAGAAATTCTATTTTATAATTTGTGACTGTAATCAAAAAACTATAAATGCCGAAAGACTTGTTTTCTGTTTAGTTACTTATGGTTAAGCTTAGGGCTGGGTAGGGGTTAAGGTTGTCATTAATGGGATTACGGTTTTGCCCATAGAGATGAATGGACGGTCCCCACTAAGATATGAGTACAGATCTGTGCGTGTGTGTGTGCGTGTGTGTGTGTGTGTGTGTGTGTGTGTGTGTATGCGTGTGAGAACTGCAGTGGGCCAGGAAAATGTCAGCCTTATCATCAGGAAACCTCTGAGCAGTGACATCCTCCCTTTACGGCATGTGGGCGGATGGGGAGGGGCCCCTGCGGCCCCGGGCCCCACCGTGTCTCCCCTGTCTGTGGTGGGCCACCCAGTCCTGGGAGAGAGAGAGAGCAAACGGCTGAGATCAGACCGGCATTCTTACTGTGAGAAAGAGAGCAGAGGAGCTCTCCCCGCTTTCGCTTCCCACTGTCCCTTTGTCACGGGAAGCTGGTGACAAAGAGGGAGGTGCTGCTCATTGTTCGGGCCCTTTATCAGTTGCTTTTCCTTCACCCCCATTTTGGGCTGACTTGCCTGAGAGCCTTACATTTGAAGAAATTTTACATTTTATAAAAAGTAAGCCTTTATTCTCTCCATACCTTTTTAGAAAATTTTTGTCGTTGATGGTTTTACCAAAAATAACTAAAAACATACCCATCTGTGCAGCGGTATTTGTACTAAAATGTTCAGGTACAGTTGACTGGCTGTAGTATTTTTTATTTAATGACAGTGTAGTATTTCCTGGCAGCACTGCAGCCATTAAGTTGCAGTGAGCTTTCTCTGCCCTGAAGTTGGCATTACAGAAACCCTTCCTTCTCCGTTTTATGAATGCCGAGTTTGTCACAAAGCCAGGTGTCAGGCAGGAACAGGTGGGAGGTTAGGGACTGGATGTTTTCCCGAATCGGCCACACCTCACCGATTACGTCTTTTGTTTGAAGTGTTCGCTCTGTTTAGGGTTCAAAGGACTGCAACTTTTCCTGTGCGTTGATACTTAAACCCAGTTGGTCAATAAATTAAACAGTTGGAAAGACCACAAACTGAAATGGGTTTTATTGTCCTGCTTAATTGTACAGGGATTCTGAAAGTTCTTCCCATTATGAAATAAAATGGTAAACCGATGACAGGTAGTAACAACAAGACAATGCCTTCAGGAGGACTGGGCGACGTGAAGGCCAAGCTCATGGGTTATGTAGGATAGTGACGCAGTTGATTTGTCGCAGCCGTGTTGCCATGATGTCGACTACTCAGATGGCTGCCCCACTGACTGGATCGTCTAGCATGTGTCTGGCAGTGAGGTGACAGTGCTGAGGATGACCACTGAGACCCTTTATAGGCATTTTCCCATGGTCTGGATCCCTCCAATCCCATCTACATGAAAATGCACTGCTACAAGAAGTAGATGGACACAGCTGTCACTGCGGTGCATTGTTTATTTGCCGGGTGGGACCCGGTTGCCGTGGAAGATACCCAGCTCATACAGATTTGCCCTTCAGAGGTTGTCTAGCTGCAAAGACATTGCCACCTAATTCCTGTCTCCCATGTGCTCACCCAGGCTTCAGTGGTCAGCACTGTGAACAGAACATCGATGACTGCGTTGACCACCGTTGTCAAAATGGAGGAGCATGTGTGGATGGAGTTAACACATACAACTGCCAATGTCGGCCGCACTGGACAGGTGACCTTACAAGCCCCTATCCACCTACCCAGGGTGTCACATGACTGCAGCCTTGGACTTTAATGTGACTTCATCTCGTACTCAATCCCACAGGTCAGTTCTGCACGGAGGATGTGGACGAGTGCCAGATGATGCCTAACTTGTGCCAGAACGGCGGCACCTGCCACAACACGCACGGCGGTTACCACTGCGTCTGTGTCAATGGTTGGATGGGCGATGACTGCAGTGAGAACATAAATGATTGTGCCAACGCCGCCTGCCACAATGGTGCCACCTGCCATGACCGTGTGGCCTCCTTCTTCTGCGAGTGTCCCCATGGCCGCACTGGTGAGATTTTAACAGCCTCCAGTCACTCTGTGGATTGTTGTTCTTGATACTGTCAGTATTGCTCATCTTGTTCGTCTTGGTGTTGGTCTCTGTGTTGTTGGTCTCGCTGTTTTAATGTTGATGTTTATCGCGGTGTTGTTGGTTGTGGTGTTTGTCTTGCTGTTGTTAGTTGTGGTGTTTATATTGGTGTTTGCCTTACTGTTGTTGGTGTGGATGGCTGTCTTGATGTTGTTGGTTTTGGTGTTTGGCTGAATGTTGTTGGTTTCTGTGTTGTTCTTGTTTGTTTTGATGTTAGTGTTCGTCTTGGTGTTGTTGGTTGTGGTATTTGTCTTGGGTTAGTACCAGTCTTGATATTGCCGGTCATGGTGATGATCTTGGTGTTGGGGGAGACGGTTGCTTGTCAGCACACCTGAAAAGCAAGTGATTTGGTTCTGTACTCATGTTCACTGTGTGCTTCCCTGCACCCAGGTCTGCTATGTCACCTAGACGATGCCTGCATCAGTAACCCCTGCCAGAAGGGCTCCAACTGTGATACCAACCCCGTCAATGGCAAGGCCATCTGCACCTGCCCACCTGGATATACCGGATCTGCCTGCAATCAGGATATCGATGAGTGCTTCCTCGGTGAGACTCCTTCCAAAATAACATGATTTTTTAAACTATTTTAGGAAGGGTGCTATAAAAAATGAATCTTGTGAATTCTTCTAGAAAGGCATGCAGCACTCCGTCATTGAAGCCCCCCATGTTTTTTCAGGTGCAAACCCCTGTGAGCACGGGGGCAGCTGCATGAACACTATGGGCTCCTTCCAGTGCAGCTGCCATGAGGGATTCTCTGGACCACGTTGCGAGATCGACATCAACGAGTGCATGTCCAACCCCTGCAAGAACGATGCCACCTGCCTGGACCGCATTGGGGGCTTTCACTGCATCTGTATGCCTGGTATGTGCCACCCTCCCCCCACCCGACACCGATAGGTTGTCCATTGTCACATATCCCGTTGTGGTATGGTCACAGACCTTTCCCTGTAGCTTTTTCTTGTTCCCTGGTCAACCTCACACTTTAACCGTTTTCACACGCCGTTCGTTATCTCCTGTACAAGTCTCATCTTAGAATATAACAGCCCCTGTGGTCCTTTAATGACGAGTTCAGCCCCAGTTCCTGTAACTGTAGAGCCTGTTAAACATTCGCCCCGCCCGGTTAATGGAACATGTGCCTTAGCCTCTTCTTCCGTCCGTCTCAGGGTACAGCGGGCCGTCCTGTGAGGTCAATGTGGACGAGTGCGCCAGCAGCCCATGTCTGAACAACGGGAAGTGTGTCGACAGGATCAACGCTTTCCACTGCGAGTGCCCAGCCGGTATGAGTCTCCATGGGGGCGACATGGAAGGGGTCTCCGCGTTTTGGCTCAGGTGAAGCTGGAAAGGTCATGTGACCATGGGCTCTGGTGGCAGCTGAACACCTGGGTCAGGAAAACATACGGTCTGTTCCTGAAGATGTCATAGAGACACGTGGCTGTTATTCATTTGTTTTTTTTAAGATCAATTCATTCCAGGTTTGTTTGGATCGCTGCTCCCTGCGGTAATAATGAACAATCTAGGGCTCGTTCCCGTTAAGGCCTGAGGAAAAACTCTGTATTGGTCGATTGGGATTAATATTCTAAGACGGTTATTCAGTGGGCACAGCAGTGAACCTGCACGCCCAAAGTCTGACACCACACCCTCTTCCTCCCAGTGCATATTGATGGACAAGGCAGGGGGAGTGTGGGGGGGTGGGTGGTATTCCTATACAATCGCCACGATACAGAATGCCGTTACATCTCAGTTGGGGGCGGAGGGGCCGGGTCGGACGTGAAGTTCAAGACTCCTCCCCAGCTCCTGCTTGACATGCAAATCAGCGCAGCTGAGCGTCGAACTGCACCGCGTCCCCATTCATGTGTGTGTGCCCCGTATCCATGGCGACTGCAGCACGCTCTGACGAATGCTGCTCTCGGCTGGGTGGGAGAAGGTCTCTCGACGGTTTGGGAGCTTTGGGGGCCCTGGGTCTGGCCAGGCGGGAGTTTGTATCTTGACTAGAATAAACTGTAAAAACACACACAGTGGAAAAGGGGGCCACTGCAGGTGTCCTCATTAAAGAGAACATCTTGGGCATATTTGTAACAGGTACTTTGTAGACATTCATGTGGTGCCAGTCAATGCTAATTGAAAGGACAATGCATTTTAGTAGTTTTTTTTTTACCGGTTTCAATGTAAGAATGGAAGAAGGTGAGAAGAAAATCCTTTCTGTGGGGGGGTTTTCTCTCTCGAAGTTCACACGAGTTACTCGTTGTGGTGGACAAAGTCTCAGTCTCAGGGATACGGCAGGAAGCCGCTGGGGGCCTTTGTCTGCCGCCTGGTCCTGAGGACAGGAAAGCTGTTTATCTCTCTCGTCTCTCTCGTCTCTCTCTCTTGTTTCTCCTCTCTCTCTTTTTTAAAGATTTCTTCTTTTTCGGCACTCTGGTATTTACAAGAGCTGAAAGAGAAAAGTGACAAAGCCCCTGGCCCTGTGCAGCACTACATGAATGGGATTAGTATCCCCCCACNATTACGGTTTTGCCCATAGAGATGAATGGACGGTCCCCACTAAGATATGAGTACAGATCTGTGCGTGTGTGTGTGCGTGTGTGTGTGTGTGTGTGTGAGAGAGAGAGAGACAGAGTGTGAGAACTGCAGTGGGCCAGGAAAATGTCAGCCTTATCATCAGGAAACCTCTGAGCAGTGACATCCTCCCTTTACGGCATGTGGGCGGATGGGGAGGGGCCCCTGCGGCCCCGGGCCCCACCGTGTCTCCCCTGTCTGTGGTGGGCCACCCAGTCCTGGGAGAGAGAGAGAGCAAACGGCTGAGATCAGACCGGCATTCTTACTGTGAGAAAGAGAGCAGAGGAGCTCTCCCCGCTTTCGCTTCCCACTGTCCCTTTGTCACGGGAAGCTGGTGACAAAGAGGGAGGTGCTGCTCATTGTTCGGGCCCTTTATCAGTTGCTTTTCCTTCACCCCCATTTTGGGCTGACTTGCCTGAGAGCCTTACATTTGAAGAAATTTTACATTTTATAAAAAGTAAGCCTTTATTCTCTCCATACCTTTTTAGAAAATTTTTGTCGTTGATGGTTTTACCAAAAATAACTAAAAACATACCCATCTGTGCAGCGGTATTTGTACTAAAATGTTCAGGTACAGTTGACTGGCTGTAGTATTTTTTATTTAATGACAGTGTAGTATTTCCTGGCAGCACTGCAGCCATTAAGTTGCAGTGAGCTTTCTCTGCCCTGAAGTTGGCATTACAGAAACCCTTCCTTCTCCGTTTTATGAATGCCGAGTTTGTCACAAAGCCAGGTGTCAGGCAGGAACAGGTGGGAGGTTAGGGACTGGATGTTTTCCCGAATCGGCCACACCTCACCGATTACGTCTTTTGTTTGAAGTGTTCGCTCTGTTTAGGGTTCAAAGGACTGCAACTTTTCCTGTGCGTTGATACTTAAACCCAGTTGGTCAATAAATTAAACAGTTGGAAAGACCACAAACTGAAATGGGTTTTATTGTCCTGCTTAATTGTACAGGGATTCTGAAAGTTCTTCCCATTATGAAATAAAATGGTAAACCGATGACAGGTAGTAACAACAAGACAATGCCTTCAGGAGGACTGGGCGACGTGAAGGCCAAGCTCATGGGTTATGTAGGATAGTGACGCAGTTGATTTGTCGCAGCCGTGTTGCCATGATGTCGACTACTCAGATGGCTGCCCCACTGACTGGATCGTCTAGCATGTGTCTGGCAGTGAGGTGACAGTGCTGGGGATGACCACTGAGACCCTTTATAGGCATTTTCCCATGGTCTGGATCCCTCCAATCCCATCTACATGAAAATGCACTGCTACAAGAAGTAGATGGACACAGCTGTCACTGCGGTGCATTGTTTATTTGCCGGGTGGGACCCGGTTGCCGTGGAAGATACCCAGCTCATACAGATTTGCCCTTCAGAGGTTGTCTAGCTGCAAAGACATTGCCACCTAATTCCTGTCTCCCATGTGCTCACCCAGGCTTCAGTGGTCAGCACTGTGAACAGAACATCGATGACTGCGTTGACCACCGTTGTCAAAATGGAGGAGCATGTGTGGATGGAGTTAACACATACAACTGCCAATGTCGGCCGCACTGGACAGGTGACCTTACAAGCCCCTATCCACCTACCCAGGGTGTCACATGACTGCAGCCTTGGACTTTAATGTGACTTCATCTCGTACTCAATCCCACAGGTCAGTTCTGCACGGAGGATGTGGACGAGTGCCAGATGATGCCTAACTTGTGCCAGAACGGCGGCCCCTGCCACAACACGCACGGCGGTTACCACTGCGTCTGTGTCAATGGTTGGATGGGCGATGACTGCAGTGAGAACATAAATGATTGTGCCAACGCCGCCTGCCACAATGGTGCCACCTGCCATGACCGTGTGGCCTCCTTCTTCTGCGAGTGTCCCCATGGCCGCACTGGTGAGATTTTAACAGCCTCCAGTCACTCTGTGGATTGTTGTTCTTGATACTGTCAGTATTGCTCATCTTGTTCGTCTTGGTGTTGGTCTCTGTGTTGTTGGTCTCGCTGTTTTAATGTTGATGTTTATCGTGGTGTTGGTTGTGGTGTTTGTCTTGCTGTTGTTAGTTGTGGTGTTTATATTGGTGTTTGCCTTACTGTTGTTGGTGTGGATGGCTGTCTTGATGTTGTTGGTTTTGGTGTTTGGCTGAATGTTGTTGGTTTCTGTGTTGTTCTTGTTTGTTTTGATGTTAGTGTTCGTCTTGGTGTTGTTGGTTGTGGTATTTGTCTTGGGTTAGTACCAGTCTTGATATTGCCGGTCATGGTGATGATCTTGGTGTTGGGGGAGACGGTTGCTTGTCAGCACACCTGAAAAGCAAGTGATTTGGTTCTGTACTCATGTTCACTGTGTGCTTCCCTGCACACAGGTCTGCTATGTCACCTAGACGATGCCTGCATCAGTAACCCCTGCCAGAAGGGCTCCAACTGTGATACCAACCCCGTCAATGGCAAGGCCATCTGCACCTGCCCACCTGGATATACCGGATCTGCCTGCAATCAGGATATCGATGAGTGCTTCCTCGGTGAGACTCCTTCCAAAATAACATGATTTTTTAAACTATTTTAGGAAGGGTGCTATAAAAAATGAATCTTGTGAATTCTTCTAGAAAGGCATGCAGCACTCCGTCATTGAAGCCCCCCATGTTTTTTCAGGTGCAAACCCCTGTGAGCACGGGGGCAGCTGCATGAACACTATGGGCTCCTTCCAGTGCAGCTGCCATGAGGGATTCTCTGGACCACGTTGCGAGATCGACATCAACGAGTGCATGTCCAACCCCTGCAAGAACGATGCCACCTGCCTGGACCGCATTGGGGGCTTTCACTGCATCTGTATGCCTGGTATGTGCCACCCTCCCCCCACCCGACACCGATAGGTTGTCCATTGTCACATATCCCGTTGTGGTATGGTCACAGACCTTTCCCTGTAGCTTTTTCTTGTTCCCTGGTCAACCTCACACTTTAACCGTTTTCACACGCCGTTCGTTATCTCCTGTACAAGTCTCATCTTAGAATATAACAGCCCCTGTGGTCCTTTAATGACGAGTTCAGCCCCAGTTCCTGTAACTGTAGAGCCTGTTAAACATTCGCCCCGCCCGGTTAATGGAACATGTGCCTTAGCCTCTTCTTCCGTCCGTCTCAGGGTACAGCGGGCCGTCCTGTGAGGTCAATGTGGACGAGTGCGCCAGCAGCCCATGTCTGAACAACGGGAAGTGTGTCGACAGGATCAACGCTTTCCACTGCGAGTGCCCAGCCGGTATGAGTCTCCATGGGGGCGACATGGAAGGGGTCTCCGCGTTTTGGCTCAGGTGAAGCTGGAAAGGTCATGTGACCATGGGCTCTGGTGGCAGCTGAACACCTGGGTCAGGAAAACATACGGTCTGTTCCTGAAGATGTCATAGAGACACGTGGCTGTTATTCATTTGTTTTTTTTAAGATCAATTCATTCCAGGTTTGTTTGGATCGCTGCTTCCTGCGGTAATAATGAACAATCTAGGGCTCGTTCCCGTTAAGGCCTGAGGAAAAACTCTGTATTGGTCGATTGGGATTAATATTCTAAGACGGTTATTCAGTGGGCACAGCAGTGAACCTGCACGCCCAAAGTCTGACACCACACCCTCTTCCTCCCAGTGCATATTGATGGACAAGGCAGGGGGAATGTGGGGGGGTGGGTGGTATTCCTATACAATCGCCACGATACAGAATGCCGTTACATCTCAGTTGGGGGCGGAGGGGCCGGGTCGGACGTGAAGTTCAAGACTCCTCCCCAGCTCCTGCTTGACATGCAAATCAGCGCAGCTGAGCGTCGAACTGCACCGCGTCCCCATTCATGTGTGTGTGCCCCGTATCCATGGCGACTGCAGCACGCTCTGACGAATGCTGCTCTCGGCTGGGTGGGAGAAGGTCTCTCGACGGTTTGGGAGCTTTGGGGGCCCTGGGTCTGGCCAGGCGGGAGTTTGTATCTTGACTAGAATAAACTGTAAAAACACACACAGTGGAAAAGGGGGCCACTGCAGGTGTCCTCATTAAAGAGAACATCTTGGGCATATTTGTAACAGGTACTTTGTAGACATTCATGTGGTGCCAGTCAATGCTAATTGAAAGGACAATGCATTTTAGTAGTTTTTTTTTTACCGGTTTCAATGTAAGAATGGAAGAAGGTGAGAAGAAAATCCTTTCTGTGGGGGGGTTTTCTCTCTCGAAGTTCACACGAGTTACTCGTTGTGGTGGACAAAGTCTCAGTCTCAGGGATACGGCAGGAAGCCGCTGGGGGCCTTTGTCTGCCGCCTGGTCCTGAGGACAGGAAAGCTGTTTATCTCTCTCGTCTCTCTCGTCTCTCTCTCTTGTTTCTCCTCTCTCTCTTTTTTAAAGATTTCTTCTTTTTCGGCACTCTGGTATTTACAAGAGCTGAAAGAGAAAAGTGACAAAGCCCCTGGCCCTGTGCAGCACTACATGAATGGGATTAGTATCCCCCCACGCTATGCCACGCCACCCCACCCCACGCCACCCTGACCCCAGCCCATCCTGCAGCCTGCCTGCGTTGTTTTTCACTGCAGGGTGGTGGGTCGGGGGGGTCCTGTCCTGAGAGCCTACTGCTGGGAGTGGGGGGGGGGCAGTACTGGGCCAGGCATGATCATCCCTCTGCTGCTGCCTTTTTCCCAGGGTTCACTGGGAACCTCTGTCAGAGGGACATCGACGAGTGTGCCAGCACGCCCTGTCAGAACGGGGCCAAGTGTGTCGACGGGCCCAATAAGTACACCTGCGAGTGTACAGAAGGTACCCCGGCATCTCCCCCCCCCACCCGTGCTTCTGTATTTATATCCGACCTTCCAACGGTGCCATCAGGCAAATTCTCTTCCTGTCTCTTCAGGCTACATGGGAACACACTGCGAGACCGACGTCGACGAGTGTGCCTCGAACCCCTGCCACTATGGCACCTGTGTGGACGGCCTGGCCACATTCGACTGCCTCTGCATCCCCGGCTACACGGGCCGTCTGTGCCAGACCAACATCAACGAGTGCCAGAGCCAGCCGTGCCAGAACGGGGGCACCTGCATGGACCGGGAGAACCACTACTTCTGTGCCTGCCCCAAGGGTACCACAGGTACACGCCCTGGGGGCCTTTCCTGGAGGGTCAGGGACCCCCTCGGTGCATTGCGGTGCTGCGTCATGGTTAGTTAACGGTGAAAAGCCAGACAAGGAAATCTAGGACTGGGAGATGTAAACAATATTATCATCATGTAAAATTTAAACAGTAAGAAAGTGAGACGCTTCGATAAACAGTCAGTAAGGAGCACAGCTTAACAGCAAATGCTAGCCAATCACATCACAGAAACAAATGGAATTCCAGCCAACTACATCCAGCCCTACTAGCAGATCCTCCAACTTACAGGGAAATTTGGGGGTTGGTGGCAGGATTGGCACAGCAGCCACCGGAAAAAATCACACTGGTATATTTGGACTGGCTTGGTGCTGAGGTGTCACCCGCCACATGGCTGCACTCAGGTTCTTATCCCTGCGGTGGTTTGTCACGTGGCCACACACTGTAATCAGCTCCTCACCTCCCCTGACCTCTATAATAGCGGACATCCTACGCCCTGCACACGCACAGCCAGGCCGACTGAGTTAGCGGAGCATGCCACATAGATTTCAATTTGTAGTTTTTTTCACTTTGTTGCCTTTTCTCATGTTCTTAATGTATTTATGGGGGAGTCTAAAGGAATTAAGCAAAAATCGAGTCTGAATGTAAAGAAACCACGATAATTATCAATATCAATAGATATGAAAATATCAATATCAGCCCTAGTGACAATACAGCGCTTCCAAACGTCCCTTTTTCAACCGACAACTGAGATTTTAACTAGCAGACGGCAGATTTTAAAAAGTCAAATAACCAGGTTCGGCCAGATCTGTATGTCACTGATATCATTATTCCTCAAATCCGACGGTTTGCCTTCTGCCTGGTACTCGCAGGGCCCAACTGCGAGATCAACCTGGATGACTGCCAGAGTAAGCCCTGCGACTACGGCAAGTGCATCGACAAGATCGACAGCTACGAGTGTGCCTGCGAGCCGGGTTACACCGGTGAGGATGCCGGGCCTGGGGGTGGGGGGCGATGTGGGGGTGGGCGGGGGGGGGGGGTGCAGGCAGGCCAGGTGGCCAGCGAGCTCACTGGGTGGTGCGTGAGGCTCAGCTTACCTGCAGAGGAACACTGACTCCCAGTCCTGGCTCCGGCATTCAGGCACGCCAACCCAGGCTTTGTTGGCCTAACCGGGGAGAAGAAAAGATTTGAATGACGCCGACCTTTGACAAACCCTGAAAGTCAATCCTTTAAAAGGGGGAAGTCGGCCGGTGCTTTAAGGCCAACTGAAAGCAGCCCCACGATGAGGGGAACGGGGGAAGCTTCCAGTGGCGATAAGGAGCCTTTCTATCCTTCTGCAAAAGGCCCCGTCTCTCTACATGGACAGAAATAAAATCTGTAGCTCCCCTAAAGACTTTAGTATGCGATCTGATACAAAGGCATGCTCTCCGGACACAAAAATACAAACAGACTGAATGCTGGACCAAATGATGGGGAATCTGCAGTGTTTACACTGTAGAAATGCTCCACGTGCTCAAATTGGGATTGTGATGTTTCGTGTGGCTTTGTCTGATTGGTCAGAGGGTTGTGGAGGTGTGGCCCACGCGGGTGATTGGCGGGTGCTGGTGGGTCACGCCATGCAGCCTCACCTGCCGCGGTTTCCCCGGCCGCCCAAGGGTCACACCAGCCTGCAGTCCACCCCCTTCCCACAATAGAACCTTTATTTGTTTTTTTTCTTAGCTGAAGTGTTATACAACCAGCCGCCTCTCCTTTTTCATCAGAACCTGTTGGGATTAAAATCTGTGAAAAGGGCCATTGTGGTTTGTGGAGGCACGGCTGGTCATTACCATTTCTAATTAGTCGAGAGGAAGTGAGCTGGAATGGGGGGGGGGGCTTCATTGGTTCTTGTTCTCCTGGAAAATGAGGCCTGCCTTCCTGTCGCTTGAAACAACAAACAACTGGGGGACCTTTAGGTACCCCTCCCCCGGAGATTGTTTGTTTGCTCTATTGTTTTGCTCCTGTGCACAACCGGAGACCCTGTTACATGAGCTTTCCCAGTGTAGCACAGGTCGTTATCTGTGACTGATTTTCTGACTCCCTAATATAGACTCCATCTTTTGTATGAATATTTTATTACTGTCTATGAGTATTTTGTTAGTATTTACTGTTTTTTATACTACCACATGCACTAGCCACAGGATCTATGCTCAATGCTAAAACTGTGGAACAGTGTATTATGTATACCATATTTTGCACTTATTGACTTAACATCATGCAAATCCAAAACCATAAATTCTAAACCATAATGGTGGATATTTTAATGAAGTAACTGGACTTTTTTTCAAAAGAAAGCTAGCAACTTGTGCTATGACTTGCATCGCCGTGCTACGACTCCTTGACCTTAACCACTGCGCCACCTGCTGTCTCTTCTGTGCTCCTGTGGCTAACAGGCACCATGTGCAACATCAACATTGACGAATGTACCTCCAACCCCTGTCACAATGGTGGCATCTGCAAGGACGGCATCAACAACTTCACCTGCATCTGTCCGGAGGGGTACCACGATGCCACCTGCCTCTCGCAGGTCAACGAGTGCGACAGCGACCCCTGCATCCATGGCCATTGTGAAGATAAAGTCAATGGGTGCGTCCCTGTTGGTCTGCTGAGCCCAGGTTCCATACATAATTTACCGAGCAATCATCATGACTGTCCGTCAGTCCTCAGTCAGGGTTTCTGAGATTCAGAGCCTGTCCTAAGTAGAATATGGTGTACTTTGGGAGCCGGCATCCCATTGCAGGGTGGTGCCCTTGGGGCAGGCAGACACCTTGGGGTTCCCAGATTGAGCCACAATGCCGGGATAAACACCATGCGATCAAAGGGAGAACATAAAAATCCACACGGTGCCGCTTTCCAACCGAAGGCCTGACATTCTGAAATTCTCTCTCTCTCTCTCTCTCTCTCTCCCTCCCTTACTCTGTCCATTCCTCAGCTACACGTGCATCTGCGATCCCGGCTGGAGCGGCTTGAACTGCGACATCAACAACAACGAGTGCGAGTCGAACCCCTGCATGAACGGGGGCACATGCAAGGACATGACCAGCGGCTACGTGTGCACCTGCCAGGCGGGCTTCAGCGGTTGGTGTTCACCCTCCCCCCCC